ACTCTTATACCAATTATTTACCCAATATTTCACGTGTTGCATATAATGATGGCGATACACACTCTTTTGGAGTACGGTAATAATAATTGGCTGCTTCATTTCATGGTATGTATGCGCCGCGTTGTTGTGATATGGGATGATGATCGGCAACATTAAAACATGATGGATAATGGATGAGGAGATAATGATCTCGGTCGGAGTGGCAGGATCAAAATATGATGATGGAAGGCTTGCATAAAATGTTTTGAAAGTTGCAACACTACATCATCATCATCATCATCATGCAAACTAGGTTATCCGTCCCATAGATATTGACGATCCGATTAAAAGTCTACTTGTAACCGTACAAAGCACAATTTTGCGTTAACCCCTGCTTGCAAATTTGCATTATAAACAAGATATCATATCGTTGGTGTATGTTGAGGGACGAAATTATGTAATACAATGTCGGATATCGATATTCAACAAAGTGTACAAAGATATTTCGCTCTGGTCGTGGAGATTTACTTAATATGCTAATTACTGACAACTGACATTAGACATTCGTAGCAAGCAGCAGCACCTCCTCATCTCATCTCCTCTCTCTGTGATCATATTGAAGGTTTTCCTTTCGGATTAGTTAGTAAATAGCATATAGTAATTTCAGCTATATTCTTCCTTACTAATAGTGAGACTATACTTACCTATTTTCAACGCATCACTTAACCAGGCATAATACCACCGCCATCAGCTTAGTTAATGACTTATGAATTACTTTTACGTGACAAGTAGCACTCTCATGCATACGTACATGAAATAGAATTAATTTAACGAGTAAAAACAGCCTGTCGTCTTGTGCAATATGTTTTATGGTCATATATACGAACAAATCCGTTTAAGAGTATAGTCAGTTGTCGTCAACTAACTACAATACAGGGTGTAGTGTCTTGTGAAAAAGCCCATTAAGTAGTAGTAGTCAGTCACCAATTATGAGGTTATTATTAAATTGACACTTTCACTGCAGCTGCCGCTATACTGAATTAATGCTCCCTCACCTGCGACAAAATCTCAAACTCTGATAAAGGAAGATGAAAAGTCTTGTTTTATTATATCTCAGGCTAATAAATGTAGCTGCACTACAAGGAAATGAAATGAGGAAGAATTTGGGCTGGATGAAAGTAGAGTCAAAGTAAGACATTTCACGTCAAGTTTAGCGAACGAGGCATGAATTTCACTAGTGACTAGGAAGATCAAAGAGCAGGGTTGGTCAAGTTTTTGTGCATAGATGGGCATCGCTCCCGGTCGGAGCGACTTAATAAAGCATATTTATTTTGTAATTCTGTAATTGTTGTAAATTATTCTATTCCAAATTACACAGTTGACAGAATATAAACTTCAAGTGGCAACTCTTGTCTGCTGTACACTGACCGTTGGTAATCGAAAATGTAGAAACTGACAATTAGTTAACAGAAATTGAAAATGTATACCGAGCAACTGCCAAAAATTTGCTGAAATTGAGTGAGCCACCCGGAGTGCCCATCTATCTCTCTCTCTCTCGTTTTGAAGTGGGGAAAACAACGACTACTTCGTTAATTCCTTCATCCAACTTTCTTGCTCATCTAGGGCACAAATCTCGATTTGGATCTCATTTGAGCCAAGTCTCGAGTAACTGATGTGATTTAGTGAATTAATTTTCAACTTGTTCTCCACTCCCTTCCTGTCATGGAATTCTCTGCAAACTAACCTCCACCCTCCACTCTCTCCTGTTTTACCTATGTACGTTTTAGTCCCACATGAATTCTACGACTTGCACAACTTCGAAAGATGAAATCTCTCCCCGTGCAAAAATCTTCTTCCGAGGCTCAATTTACTTTTATAGCTCTAGGGCTCGGCAAGTTTTGCTTAGTAAGGAAAGAAAGGTTTTCCTAATACATACTTGTCGCCTCTGGTTTGGTACAACATTTTGGCTGTTCCGGCCGTGGTAATATTTGTGTAAAGAGTCATTCTAAGCGCCTGCCGTAATAGTACTTTATAAATAAAAAAAAAGTCTCTGGAAATAGCAAATGGAGCGAATCTCTGCATACAGTTCTTTATTTTAGTGGATGGTACAAACAAACGGGCAATAAAAGGAGTGAACTCGGGGTTTAAGTTGGATGGCCGGATGCAGTTAATTTGAAGAAATAAGCCACATTTAATTTAATATGTTTCTCATAACTATGTAGCCTACCTTGGTACATAGCGGCCGGGTTTATATTTCGTACGTACATAATTCATTACAAGTAACCCTGCTACCTCCTCGGTTAAAGTGTTCTTGCCAACTCGTGATTCATTTAATATGCAACCCCGTGGTAAGAGTAGGAAAGGGATCAAAATAAATAATTTCCTGCGCGACAGTACATAAAATGAAGTCATAGTTGTAAAGAAAAAGTCTAGTTTGCTTATCGTTCAAAAAACAAAGCATCTTCCAGTCTTGGCGTAATTACTTACTTGCGCTTGTGCGATAGAAAGTAACTTGTCTTGTTCAACACTGGCAACTAATTCAGCGTACACGTATTACATATACATCGATCTCCAAATAGTATGTGTATAATCGTCATTAAAAAGGTCTGCTGTTCCGGTTTGCCATTATTTCACTTTTTTTAGCAGAGGCGGCAGCAGCGTGGCTTTTATTTGCTTCTGTTGGATGCAATACTGTTATCGTCGTCACGGAGGATTGAATCGTGTCAAGTTTTCTTGACTGATGTGCTTCTTTCTTTGGTTTCTGTTCAAATAATAAAACTGTTGGCACATGATGATAACACGACTCGGTTAGCACAGAGAGAAAACGACCTTACTTTTCTGTGTGTCTTCTGCTATCTTAATGTTGCAGGTGTTGGTGTCATTTATCTTTTACACCAGTGTCCCTCCAGCCAGAAGTAGTGTGTGTGTGCATATAGGTATTTATTTATGCGCGTATAGCTAGATAGCCATAAGCCAGTTTAGCAGTTTATGTACATTGCATTAATATAATGTGTGGCATTTGCATCACAATGGTTTAGTTGGTAGATGAAGAAAATTGTCCGAGGAAGAGCAGACTTGTACTTATTCGCCTTGCTTCTTCCAACACCTTTTAGTTCTGGGTTGAGTCTGCTTATGCAGCTGAAGAGGGTATTTTATTCTCAGATTTTTCCACTCGTAAATTTATTCATAAAAGAATCATTATGCAATCATGTGAGAATGAGGAGGCAAGGACGATGCAAGTAATGTGTTGCATGCGTTACTACCAAAATAGATCAGTATCTCTAGCAAGAAAGAATTTTGCTACATGAATGTATTCTAGAGGAAAGAAATTATAGCTCTGGTGCGACTACAATCTGTAAACTTTCCGTTGTTTAATTTTAGCCTCTCGGTAATTTATTTGTTTTCCGATTATGAGAGGTGTGTATTGATTGGCTTGCTAAAATTATGTTACCTTACACAACGGACATGAAATAAAGTGGTGTTTCACTCCTCTCGTATGTACTCATCAGTTCGTTATTATAAATTTTGCCATATTTTTGTTTGCGTAGTAAAATTCTGACAACTGTAAAGTCCTTAAAGTGACGAAGGAAGCGGCATGTTTAGGATACCAAATAGTAAATGTAAATAGAAAGCAGTAAATAATAGCAGTTATACAAGTTATACAGCACAATTCGATGAACAACGCATGTACGTAGGCCTTGAAGAGGAGTTTAATATGCTTATTTTCCTTAAACTTTACTACCTTGTGCGGCTTGTTGCTGACGTAGCGTGTTCTTACTGACTTGCAAAATTTTAAGGAAAATGCAATGATATTAACGAACACGAAATTTATCATTATTTTGTAATGTGTGGTGTTGGTTGCATGTGCATATTTGGATATATACGTAGATATATCGCGGTTAGTGGTAATTGGGTGAAAAATATGTATATAGTTTTTTCTCTCTCTTTCTGTGTTGATTTAGCTAGTCGGTAACTTCATATCTTTTGAAATAACAAGACAGGAGACAATTTTTTAACGAGATTGAGATTGAATAGTAAAAATTGGGCCAATTATGTAAGGTGGTGTTGCCTTTCTTGTTTTCAATAGATTACGGGATGGGGTTTCTTTTCCTTAGCTGAAGATTTCCTTATTGGATTATTGTGTTAACGAGAGGAGTATTGATGGCTAGCAAGTACATAAAAATATTTTGTGGTATTTTATTTTAGTTTGAAATTGAAGGGTGAAAGCGTACTTTCTCTTTCGTTCTTATAGGTTAGACTTCGCTTCAGTGTGAATGATGTCAATGAACAAATCGGATACTGTTTCATAGACTAAAAAAACTTGTGTAAGAGACGACCAAGAACATTATTTCTATTCAATAGAAAAGCCGTGTAAAGGAAGCTTCATAAATTATCATCCCCGAAATTGCTCACAAAACCGGGATTATATTGAATAGCCGTCTCCGCCTACTCCACCACCCTTTAGATTTATTGGAGAGCGATAGAATTTGTGTCTCTTTGTATTCTTTGAGTATTTAGTGTCGTATTATTGGAGAAATAAATAAATACTGGCTTGTTTGGGGAAAGCAACTCCCAAATAATATCCGGCGAGGCTGCTGCTGCTGGGAAGTGAAAACATTTGACTTGTTTGAACGAGTGGATGGAACGCTAATAATAACCTTGGACCGAGCGACTAATATTTGTTGGATATAAAGGGCCAAGGGATTATCGATTTGAAGATTAAATTCCGTCGTCAAATTCGAATCTCTGTTTGCACAAGTTTTAGCTTTCCTTTAGTGAGACGCCATACTGAGAGGTGAAATTGGACAAGTTAGCCAGCTAGCAGTGCATACATGTATTATTAAGTATATATTGGAGGGGTTTATTTTAGTGGTTTTAACGTGGTTGGTTTCATGTTATGACTTCTGACACGGCTTGTTGCGTTTGTTATAATGATAATAAAAGCGTATTGTTCTTTCGCTTTCGTTCCGTTAGTTTATCTGTGGACTGTGAATAATAAATTTTGATCTTGTGATTTACAGGTGCTTTGACTGCTTTCGTGTAAGTAAAACTGCCAAAAATACAAAATGGAGAATCGTCCTCGTTATCGTGTCCCAGACGAGTAAGTTACATGTTACACTGATTTGATTTTGTGCGGATTATTTTAGTTACTAATTTACATTTGCAGGTTGAGGGAGACATTACTGGACTTTACGATCGCCTACTTGTTAGAGGTTCGTTTATTACAGTTTCATCATTCTGCACCATCGAATGGAATGACTAATACTGTGTCCTTGCTTTGCATTTCATTAGAGACCGAGCAACTTGGCAGATTTCGGACTAAATTTTTTCCAACGTCTCCGTGGCGAAACTGGGGGGAGAAGGACTTCCGCCCCAACTCAGAATGCTGCCACGACTGGTGCCGTGAATGGAGGCGGTGGGGCTGACGAGAATGAAGGTATGTAAAAAAAAGTCGTATTAATTTTAAAATCTCATCACATATAGTGTGCAATTCTTCTCAGTCACGTAGCCATCGAGAGTATTACGTACTATTTTGCATACTAATAATTTTATGATACGATAAATTCCATCATCACCACCGCCGGCATTTAATATTTAATCCTAGATTTGTAACGACTTAGTTTATAATCCGCTTTAATGAGAATGAGCACAGGATAGGATTGGCAGATTTAAAATGTTAGCGAATCCTGAATATATACAGTCAATTCGAGTTTGTATACAATTTATGTATCATTATTATCGAGCCATCAAAGTAATTGACAAGTACGGAGTTTTGTGTAACTGGAGAAAGTCTAGTTTGCAATACTAACGAGCTGTCTACCTTTAAAAAGTGACGACGAGCTGGTAGTGGGTTATCTTTCGTTTGGGTACTTTTGAAAATTGCCGTCGTCTTCATGCTGAGCATTATAAACATAAGAAGGTCTTGTCGACCAATTCGTTGAAATGCGCTCATAATTTATAAGCTGCTTCGCTCTCTCTTCCTTTCAAATTCGTGGAGAGGGGATTTATGTAGCATTAATATCTCAAGTAGTTGGATGGATTGGGTCGCTTTTTGGGTAGAAAAAATTCAACGCGTGGAGAAAATGTCTAGCCAGATATTATACGTAGACTGAATACTTAAAGTTTGAGCGATTGTGATATATAATATAACTCCGGAAAACGGTTGAGGTTTCACTTCAAATTTTGAGCAAAAGTTAGTTTTTGTAGAATGACCTTCACGCCCTGGTTCTCAAGTTACTCACATTGTACAAAACCGGAAACTTCATATGTTTATGATTTAAAGTTCGAGAGACCAGCTTTCGTAAAAATACTCGAGATCACCTGCACACCAAGCGTTCCGGTGCTATTAAATGTCATAATAGTTCAAGAGTAAAAGTTTAAGCATACGAATCTCAGTCTCAGTATTGCATATTGCAACACATTCATTAAATTTGAAGTGGGTGTTACATGTATGTTTACTCTTTGACTATACATTCACCTTGAACAAACTAGAGAAAGTGTGCCTAATTTAAATTCAGACCGGAGGAACTGAATGAAAATAAAATTTTGAAGACGTGGCATTATATTACGAAATGGAATTGCTGAATTAACCGACTTTCTCTGCATACTTTAACTTCTCGTGGTTATCTACAAATATGTATGTGCATATGTATAAAGCTATGAAAATATTACGAGAACTTTCATTTAAAAAATGACGTAGTCATCAACTTCGTCATTTAGCGTCAAAATCTGTAAGGATCTGTCCAGAAAGAAATATTAGGAAATTATCACCACAAAATACGTCATAGTTGAAATCGCATGTATGTGAGCCAAACAAATGGGGAACCTTTCTGTCATGCTCAATTTTTAACCTTGCTGAATGCACGTAGTGTCCCAATTTTATTTTATTACACATTCTTCCCGCTTTTTACCCAGACAGAGATCTTTTTTTAACAGTGCACATTGTATTCTTGGTTGGTGAAAATTAAGCTCCATATAAATGTGGTTGATGACAAACTAACTCGCAATTTTCTCTTTAAGCTCCTTTTTCCCTCTGCATGTCACAACATTAGGGTGGAGTTATTATAGTCACTTATATTCATTATCACTACCATACCACCCCTCCTCTCCTACCACCACGGAACGTAATAACGAGCCGTTTTGTTTTTATCGGGAGAGAAAAAAGGTATGAGAAATTACTACGTCTCGTGCTTCAGTTCCAAAGGTGAAAGTTCAGGTGGCTAAAATATCCAGATTTTGTTGACCTTGCTTTCACACTAAATTCTCAAGATTATTGCAAACTATTAGTAGGGGACCTCAGACACACGAAAAAATTGTCGCTTAGAATTTCGCTTCGTTTTTCGCTTATCGATAGCATGGCCAGAATTATGAAATTTGCAAAATTTTGTTCCGACTGGAGCTAACCGACCTCAACCCCACTTCTGAGTTGAGTTTCTGTTCGCTTGCCCCAGAGTTCGCTTATCAGGAAATAAGCGAAATTCTAAGCGACGATTTTTTCGTGTGTCTGAGGTCCCCCAGTATATCGCGAGGTGAAAGTAAAGTTGAGGCAGGAGAAACAAGGAACTTTACTTAACTTTATTTGATAATGTCGCTTAATTAAGTGTTTTCTTGCTCAAAGTTTACCCTAATATATTCAACGCTAATCCTAAGCCAAGTGTGAGAGTAAATTAGTGAATAAGAATTTAGAATCTCTTTCTACCCACATTTCACGACCAATTGACACCGACTAAACGAAGGAAGGAAGGGGTTTCAAAGTGCAGCATTATTTGTAGTAAGTAGTAGGAGCAAGACAAATATTGGTACAGCTCTTGTCCCATCTTTTATCATCCAGTTAGTGGTGGTGTGTGGGTGCGTCTCCAATATTGTGTCATCACCATAAAATTCAGTAACTAACTAACGCAGAGTTTACTTTGTCCATCCTCCTTTTGGTTTGGGGCTAGATAAGGCCTGACAATGATGAGCCTGTGGTTTGGTTTGTGTACATATTTTATCTCGCATCTCATTGTTTAGGCTGGAGGAGATTGGAGAAAGTTGTGTGTGTTGACTTTCACTCGTATAATTGGAGTCATTTATACACTGTGAGTCTTGCAGTGTTTTGTGTTGTCTAATATGTTTTTGTTAGCGTGCTCGTGCTTCGTATCGTGTTACTTTCTTGTTCGCATTTCAAAGAGAAATTTGTCGTGGATAAAAGGAGAGATAGATTCCGAATTCCGAGGTATGGATACCGCTACCACCACCACGACGAGAACCTCAACTCTAACCTCATCTTCAGGATAGGGTAGGATTTCCCAACGGGCACCGACGAACCCACCACAAACTGCCGCTTTCACTATTACTACTACTTACTACCTCAACCTTCCTCTCTCGTTCCGTCTTTGTCTACCTCCTGGTTTTATTGGTAGTCTGGAAAAGTGTTCAATTTAATTTATGTATAGGAGTCAGTGTGCAACCGCATTAGGTGTGCCGAGGGTTGAATCCATTCTCTAATACTTTCTCTCATTCTCATTTTCTCCATTGTTCTACATACAAGTACGAGAAACTCGATGTTATGACAAAGGCTGGCGAGAAGGGCCATGTACAGATCTGCCCGGTTTTGGTCGGTGGTTTGGTTTTAGGCATTTATTTTTCTTCCCTTTCCCTCTCTCCCCTTTCATGTCTGTGAAATTGGAGAAATCGCCTCCTTTCGCGAAAGTGAAAGCCGATGGGAATCTGCACATTCACACATTCACGAGAATTGGGCGAAATTCAAATGTGGGTTGGGTGAAAAAAGAGGAGATCTCTTCTTCCATTCTCATTATTCAGGTATCTTTGACTTTTTCTTCTCCTTTTGAGGAGGAGAAAGTTGGCCGGATTTTCTTCTTCACGTGTTGTATCCCACTCGCTCGCTAGCTCGCATGGCACAAAGTAATTTGTATGACAAAAAGAATAGATTTCGTTTGTCAGCGAGAACGAGATGAGGATGTATGTATTGTACAAGTTGGAATTGAAATTGGACCAAGTGATGAACCACGAGAAACTGGAGAGGAGATGAGACCCGAAAACCACAGGATTTCGCATTTAGCTGTGACCAAGTTAACTTATTTCTTTCACTCTTTCGGCTCTCTCGCTCTGTTGAAGAACTACTTTGTGCATGGCATATCGGGTCCGCTCCCAGTAATAGAATCGTATTAACGTTTGTATTAAATTGTGTGGTCGTGTAAGGGGGTTGTTGATAGGAAAAAGAGAAGAAGCTGCTGCTACTGCTTCGAGTTGTCAGTTCTTCCAATTCGTGGTTGGTTGACGACACAGCACGGCATCATCCTGACGGACATGACGTAAAAATGGAATAGAAAGAATCCAAATTCCATCGAAAAGCCTCATCCTCCTCTTCCATTTCATCATTCAACTTCATTCCTACATTTCTGACGGTACGGTAGTGTGGTGTGGGAACCAAGCCAGTCTAAGCGTGAAGAGGAGCTCAACAAATTCTCGTTCATCGTGCCATGCATTATTTCAGCCCTTTTCCTTCTCCTCCTCGGGTAGGACGAGTCAGGGTGAGAAAGTTTTAAAATTTTAAACTTTTCTTCTTCTCACACATGGAATTCAATTCGTGTTGACGAAACGTGTGTGTATTTTAATAAAAGTGAGTTTCATTTACAATGCGATGGTGTGAAGTGTAACCCTCCGATTTGGCTGAAATTTTAAAATTAGGTGGTCCAAGCCAATACAACTAACGTTTCTTCAGGCAGTTTGTGCGATGGTGAGAGTTACTCAAAATATTTGAGGTCAAAGTTCAAAAAACGGCCGACTTTTTTCAGGCGGAGTGAGAAAACTCCACTTCCATTCTCTTCCCCTCGCTTTGATTTTATTCAGGCGTCTCGCTCATGCATACGCCTTCATGCTCAAGCACAAGCTTTGATGCAAAATAATAAAAAATAAACATTATTAATTATAGCTTAAAGAGCAATTAATACGCATTATACATACTTAATTTAATTTATAATTAAATAAGTGAGATTTTTACTTATTTCTAGTACAAATTTACATAAAAGTTAATTTATAAATTCGCCAACGGCAAATAAACATGGAAAAACTTAACTTGCTTTCCATTTCGAAAGCGTTGGTTATTCTAATATCCAATTATATATTAATATTTTAAATGCTCCTGTGATTCGATATTGTTGGTACTCAAGCGGATCATGGGGTGATGACGAAAAGCCCGAGTTTAAAAATGTAAGCGAAGTTTGTTTTAGAGAAAAAAATATTAGTTGCGACCTGAATTGTGGCAATCCCACATTCATCAAATTCAGCTGGTGCAGTTTATCGTATTGTTTTGTGGACTTTTATGAAGATAATCATATAGTCACATGTGGAATGAATAATTAATATTTTTCTATAAAAAATTAAATTTAAAGTTGTTGAAATGAATTATTTTTCGGAGTGAAAATCAAAGCGAGG